CTGGGGACACCCCCAGGGACCCCCTGTCACCCCAAAACACGTGGGGACACCCCAGGGACCCCCTTCCCACCCCAAAATCCCTGCGAACGCTCCTGGTAGAATCTAAGGTGCCCCTGTCACCCCAATGCACCCAGGGACCCCCTCAGGGTCTCTCTGTTACCCCAAAACACCCCCAGAGAACCCCTTCCCACCCCAAAACACCCGAGGACACCCCCAGGGTCACCCTGTCACCCCAAAACACCCCCAGAAAACCCCTTCCCACCCCAAAACACCCGGGGACACCCCCAGGGAGCGCCCCTGTCCCCCCCAAAACCCCCGCGGACCCCCTTGCACACCCCAAAGCCCCCGGGGACCCCCCCAGGGACCCTCTGTCACCCCAAAACACCCCCAGAGAACCCCTTCCCACCCCAAAACCCCCGGGCACGCCCCCAGGGGTGCCCCTGTCACCCCAAAACACCCGGAGCAGCCGCGGTATCGCCCAGGGTGCCCCTGTCACCCAAACCCCCCCCGGGGACACCCCTCGAGGTTCCCCTTCCCACCCCAAAACCGCCGAGAGCGGGTCAAGAGTCCCCCCCGTGCCCCGAGCCGATCATTGCGGTGTTACAATTCCCACACAACAGCGGAGAAGCCCGAGGATGGCGGAGAAGCGCGCGGGGGAAGGTCAAACACCCCGCGGGCGGCGGCGCGGGCGGGCCCGGGGAGGGCCCCGGGAGGGCCCCGGGAAGGCCCCGAGCGGCGGCGGCGGCACCTCAGGGGCCGCTCCCCCCCTGCCAAGGGCACCCCCGGCGAGCCCTCCCCGCTCCCTTCCCCTCACCCCGAGGGTGCGGGGGCCGCCCGGGCCTCACCGGGCTTGGGCCGGGCCTAACGGGGCGGAAGGAGCGGGCCGGGCCTAACGGGGGGGTGTGAGGCGGAGGAAGGAGCGGGCCGGGCCCTAACGGGGAGCGGCCTCCCCTCGGCGCGGGAGCAGCGGCGGGGAAGGGAGGGGAGCGGCCCCGGCCGTGACTCACCGCGGGCCGGGCCGGGGCCGGCGCTGCCGCCGCGCAGGAGCCGCCGCCGCCGCTTCCTCCCGCTCCGCGACAAAATGGCGGCGGCAGGAAGTGCCCCCCGCGCGCCGGGCCCCGCCCCGCGCTACGCCGGCGGCGTACGCGGGAAAGGCCCCGCCCCGCGCTACGCCAGGGGCGTACGGGGGAAAAGCCACGCCCCGCGCTACGCCAGGGGCGTACGGGGGAAGGCCCCGCCCGCCTGCGCGAACGGCGGCCCGGGGGTACGCAAACGGCGTAGTGGGGAGAGCGTACGCTGATTGCGTACGGTAGAGCGCGGAAGGGTTTACGCAAACTGCGCAAGGAAGAGCAGAGCGGGGTTTACACAGATCGCGCATATGGTGAGGGGCTTACGCAAATGGCGCACGGTGGAACGGTGAGGGGCCTACGCAAATGGTGTACGGTGGAGAGCTGAGTGGCTTACGCAAATGGCGCACGGTGGAGCGGTGAGGGGCTTACGCAAATGGCGCACGGTGGAGGGCAGGAGCGCTTGCGCAGATCGCGTAGGGTGGAGCGGACGGGGCGCTACGCAAACGGCGCGATGCGGCCCCGCCCTACGCCAAGCGCGCAGCGCCGCCTCAGC